ACGGTGGCTTTTCGCGCGACGCCGATGAATTAAAATTGAATTTAAAAAAATATTGACTCTGTCTGTATTCTGTCTCTCGTAATTTCCTCGTTCCCCTTCCCCGCCACCACCTGGTAATTATTTGCCTGGCCCGAGTAAATATTTTCTCGCATGAAGCGAAATTGATTCGAATCTCAAAAGTCATTCGCTTAAATCATTATAGTCATTTTATTTTTTGTAACTCGAAGACAAGCACGAGCCAATATTTATCGATGCGCGGTAATTCGCGATCTCGAGATAAGATAATATTTATGTGGATCAAATTTTCCATTCCGCTCACGTTGATAATATTTTTTTTTTTCTTGGTAAATGGCTGCTGCTTTATTTTCAGTGTAAATTCGCTCCGTCTTACTTCATAAAATAAGTCATTTTTTTTCTCTTTACTCTTCCTTTCTTCTTCTTTAATTTTCGCCCGTTTTTCAGCCAATCTCATTTTTCCTTTGATAAAATTTTCAGTCATTGTCGACTTTTTCATTGTGTCCCAAACCGGTTGAACCTGATATAAATTTTTACTAGGAATTTCTTAATTGAAGCTCTAGAATGTTGCACTCGTAGATTATATCTTATCGTTATAAAACTTTTTATACAGTCGGAGCCGAGTAGAATAAAAAGCTTAAGCCATTCAATTCTGTCGCTTTATTGCGGCGCAAGAGTACCGAGTTTTCCGCGCGCCAAGTTTATAGAAACGTCGGCTCTCTCGGTAAACATAAACAATAACGGCGAGGCTTTCCTCGCGATTTTTCATCGCGATATTCAATATAGCGCGGGACTCCAGTCCCGAAAAAAGCATCCTTACCGGTCGTTAAAAATCGGCTTTTCTCGACAATTTTGCGAGAACAGTCGCTAATTTCAGCGCCGCGGTGCCTTGCCATCTCCGGCGACGATCTCCGCGCGAATTTATACCTGCATGGGACGCGCATTTATATATATCCCGGGTGGACGCTCGAGCGGCTCGATAAGCCAACTTGTCCGCGTTTCACCTGCGAGGCCGTGAGCGCAGCGGCGAGAATAAATGGCGAGCGGAAAAGGGCCGGGAGGAGATCCCATCGCTACCAATAACAATGATGGAACCGGCCGCGCGCTTCCCCCGGACGAGCTACGCGAAGAAACGAGACGGCCGATAGGGTAGTGGGTGGGGGTTGGGCCGGGGGGGGGGGGGGTTTGGGGGGGGGGGGGGGGGGGTGGGGTGAGGAGGGGTGGCGCGGAGTGCGGTAGCGTACACCGATGCTCTTTTAAACTCGTTTCGTTTAATTGTCGCTGTTTTTGTTTTCCTGGTTTACCCCGGTATGCCGGGAGCGAACGGTGATGGCGGTGGTGGTGGTGGTGGTGGTGGTGATGGCGGTGGTGGTGGGGCTAACCTAGCGGGGAAGGGGGAGATAGGATAAGGAACGAGAGAAAAACGATCGCTTTATTGAGGCGGTCGTATGTTTTTCTCCGCGAGGAAACGCGACGTTGAATTTTTAATCGCGCCACAACGTCGATTACTTATTTTTAACGCGCGCGTCGAAAGCCATGGATGCTTATCCGAAACGAATCGTTTTTTGAATGCAAACTGGTTAGTGGCCGAGTGTCTTTGAAAGGAGGGACCTGTATTAAAAAAAGAGACATATGGCGAGGAGGATGAGGTGGAGGAGGAGAAGGAGGAGGAGGATAAGGAAGAAAAGGAGAATTTAACGTTCAACAGATGTCGTTGGATTATATCTCAAAATTTAGGGAAAATTCTTTGAAGGATTATCTAAATATATCACACGCTCCACTTCACCCAAGTTTTTTTCCATTCGCTACTTCCGTGTCTTCGTCCCATCCATTTGTAAGTACGAACAAAAAAAAGAGTCGCGAGCGCTTTTCGTGACTTTCAATGCATTCGTCGTCACCAAAGTACCCGGGACATGCTCATTCTTTTCTCCTTGGCGTGGCTCGTGTTTCCAGTTTATTATAAAGAGGACATGTAAAGAAATGTAAATGGCCTCGAAGCCGGCGTTAACGATTAACGTCCCCACGGCGAATCATCCTAAATCCGAGCGACTTTGCGCGACCGTTCACGAATAGCCACAAAATACCCAACAAAGCCTTTCCAACGATCCATTGTCTTTATACGTAAACGAGCTACGCAACGGTGATCCTTCCTTATCCTCTTCTTACTACTTCTACTACTCCTCCCGCCCCTCTCTCACCCAATCCCCACCCCCGAAACCTGGCCCCTCTACATATCTATCCACAACCCAATTCCCTCGCACGTCCTACAACGAGGCGAGATTTCGCCCCGACCGCATCTGCCCCGACGATTTCAAAGGCGTCGATCAACGAGACTCCTCCTCGGGCCCCGCATAAATCGTCGGACAATGGCAGTCGATCTCAAAGGCGAGGCCGATTGCGATCTGGCCCCGTTCCTCCCTTACCCCTTTTGCCCCTTCCACTCCCATCACAGCGGATCGTTACTCATGCCGCGGGACGCGCCTCCGCGAAATCGCGCGATTCCTCAATGGATTAAGCGCGCGTCGCGTTTATCTCTCGGGAGGGAATGCCGGCGATCCTTCCTCCCTCAGATTTTCTCCCTCCTCGCGTTCCTCTCGCAAGGGTTCGATTTTATCGGCCCATTGATAAATTGACTCCCGGGCTTGCGGTGACTCTTGAAAATGCCAGCCGTACATTCTTTTCTTTATTATTTTTTTCCCATCTTTCCCTTGATTTTGTAACGGCACCGGCAATCCGCTGGAATTTATCGCGACCTGTGCGTCTCGACTTACTAAACGCCGATTGAAAAAGCAATTAAAAGTTGGTCGCCTTGGCGGGCGGCGCGGTAGGGGAGTGCCGATCGCCGTAATTGTCATTGTCAACAGCAGGGGGCGCGTCGCGGGTGGGTTGCGATTAAGGCGTCGAAGGGCGGGGAGGGAGTGGACGTCCCGAGCAGCGACTCGTCACTCGCAGACTCGATAATCGCTCAATTAGGGATCCGGCGACAATAATCGTTTCATTGGTAATCGTAGCCTGGGAGGAGAAAAAAAGACCGCCCATCGTGTGTCCCCCCCCCCTCGCGCCATCACGCCACTACGAAGATTAAGGATAATTTTAACACCGGCCGATGTAAAAAGTCATTGACAGATCGCTTAATCGCGTCAATCTCGGGACGCGTACGCAACGGCTGTCTTCCTTTTGGAGATTTGCGCCTATGGTTAAGGCTCGTGTCCGAGCCTCTTCGAATACGCTCTAGTCCGTTCGAAAAAAGAGTAAGATTGAGTAAGAGGAGCGGCGGTACTCTGGCGTCTGCGAGGGGTTTGTGGTGGTAGTGGAGGCGATGTAGAGCGGGTTGGCAAGGGCGGAGGGGTGGAAGGTAGAGGAGGTGGAGGTGGATGAGGAGGAGGTGGCGAAGGAGGAGGAGGGAGAATATCCTTTGTGCGTAAAGTATAGGCAGCCGAGGATTTTACTGGCGAGGTGGAGTGAGAAACATTTCTCAGGTCGAATTTTTACGGAAAAAATCAGAAGGTTGGCCGAAAAGACGGAGGAATGCTCGGCTTATGTAGAAGCGCGCGCGCGCGCCGCTGCCAACTGTATTTTGTAATAATCCATTGCCGTCCGATTACGCAAAGTGCACATTACGTGAGGATCGCTTTTAATAAGGGCAGCCGCGTTAACGAGCCACGTGAATTAGAAGCGCGGAGCTGCGCCACATAAATCTTGGGTCCCGATCGAACAACAGAATGACTCGGCGTGTGAAAGTACGAACGGTCGGGAACAATGAAGAAGAAGCAGCCTTGTGCAACTCCGAAACTCCGAGTACGTCGTGGGGTGGGGAGGAAGGAGCAATGAGAGGACGGAGGAGAAAGATAGGAAGAAAGAGAGCTCGAAACGCACCTGTTCCCCATCGTCGTACGTGTCCCAACTCTCATCCTTCGAATTCGTGCTCTGGTAATTTAGTAATTTCGTTTACACGAGGGGCAAATCGCAGTTATGCGAGTGTTTTATTGGGAATGAGGCAGTGGTTGCATGAGCTTAGCGGTAATTTGCCAGCAACGGCGATATGGCCCCATCTCGATATTCTTACTCCTCCCGGCCTTTTATTCCTCCTAGTAAATGTAGGGTTTAACGGGGGCCCCTCGGCATTATCTTTATCACCGTGTTACCGTGGGCCCCGGCAGGCTTGCATATTACGATACCCTCCTCACACACTCCCTCACTCTCTCACTTTGCCATTCTCACTCTATCTCTCTCTCTCACTCTCTCTCTTTCTCTCTCTCCATAATCGGCCGATCGCGAATTCAACTGCTTTTTCCGGAAGACGTGTCGGTTGCCGGAGCCATACGCATTTGACTATTAGCCGAATGTGATGGAAAGAAGCAGCTCAGGTAATCCGACTACCGAGCATCAATCTGCCTGAAATTTGACCGTTTTCTGGTATGGACTACTACTACCTGCCTAGATACGCATCTAAAAGTGATCGGGCATCGCCATTACGGATGAACTAACATACCAAAAATTAGCCTACTTATCCAATTATAACGGTTGATTTTTACAGCAACGTATTATTAAATCGACTGATGAAGGTATCTAGTATGATATTAGTATCCTCGCATAGAAAGCATTTTAAAGTGATTCGCACTTTTTTCGGATCCGTAATCTCGGTTGAAGAATCGCCGAGGAGTCGCAAGGCTCGCGCGATTAAAATCCAAAAGCGGCAGTCGGCGATGCTCAGTCACGTCAAGACTAAACGCGCGCGCACGCCGTAACGAAGACACGACATTCTTGATATTCCAATAATTTAATCTCATGTCCAAAGACGCAACGCGAACCGCAGCGTGCGGCTTTCCGTTACCGTCCGCTCGCAATGAAAACAATCATACCGCGGAATTCATCGGCTATGTAATCCCCTAATGCAAAATGTAATCCACCGCTTGTTACAGCGTTGCGCGAGAGATGAGTACATGAAAATGTAGCCGAGACTCGTGCTGCAGCCGCACCATAATAACAATAACAGCAATGACAGAAATAGTAACAGTAATAACAGTTATAACAATAATAACAATAATAACAACAACGACAGTAATAACAATAATAACAACAACAATAACAACAACAACAACAACAACAACAACAGTAATAATAATAATAATAATAATAATAATAACAATAATAATAATAATAATAGTAACAACGGTGAGCGACGCGTCGAGTAATGTACGGTTGCGCTCGTACGTCAGGAAATTCTGGTTTCCGCGCGAGCGCATCTAATAAAACGATGAAAGGAGGGAGCCAGTGAGGGAATATCGAAAGAGACGCCGGGGTGGCCGGGGGTGGGGTTGAATGAGCAGTAGAAAGATGGCGTTGGGAAGGGAGGTGGGGGACGTTGGCGGGAGGGGAGAGAAGCGACGTCGCTCCATTATATCCAACAGCCGGTGCACTTGCCCTCACTCGCGAGGGGTTACAACGCAATAACGGCGCCCGTATCTCTCCCCGGCGGAAATCGCGCGCGGGCGGCAACGGTGGTGCTTTTTTCCCTTTCGCGCCTTTTCACAAGGGCAAAGCGTCGCGTCCCCCGAGTGTAGCAACTGTCGGGGATGTCTGAATGCCTACCACGTGAAAAGGGAGCTCGAGATGTCGGCCGCGCGATAATACCGAGGAGGAAAGTGCGCTGCTGATAAGCCGCCGAGCCGTCGAGGATATTATCAATCATCGGCGCTCGGCGACGGCTGATTTTTCCCTCGTGGGAAACTTTATTTTTACCAATGTGATTTGGTCATCATTTTGGCCATGGCAAGCCTTAAGGAGATAGGCGCGTAAATAATCGTTATATATATATATATATATATATATATATATATATATAGAGAGAGAGAGAGAGAGAGAGAGAGAGAGAGAGAAAGTGAGAGAAACGGCCTTTGCGTGGCCCGGTGATCTCCAATTAATTAATACGGTTTTATACGAACTCGGTGCCCGACGTTACAAATTTACCGGCTCTCGAGTCGCTGCCACCCCCTTCTTCTTTTCATTTTGTCACCGCTGTGGCTGAACGAGCGCCATTGTAAAGGGAAAAGGCACGTACGTGCGCAGCGGCCGTTGCGATGTCGCGCCGATAAGAAATGTCCTCGGCCGTAGCCGATACTGATATTAGAAGAGCAGGTGGTCCTTACATATTTTATTCAACCTCGGGGAATGTATACGCGTACGTGGGGACATTCGACCGCACGTGAGACAATGGGCCCAGCGGCAACCGGGAATGTATTAAAGTATTACGTATTCTATTCGCCTTACCTGAATTTTGCTCCGTGAGTTTGAATTTTCGAAATTCGCCGATCCTGTATGCCGGCGGAGCCCCAGCCAAATTGATATTTAAAAACAAATTTTTATCCAAGCGCTAGTCTCGCCCCTTCCGCATACGCCCCACGAAGTCGTCATAGCTCCGCTCGCATTCTTCATGAAATTGTTGAAAAGAAAAATCGCCAAAGGTATCGCATCGGTCTATGCAATAAAACAATGGGATTTTAATTACGGACGGCATACCGAGTACAAATGACCGTATGCCGCGCAACCTCCAATTATTACTTAACATTCGTTAAATAATGCGAGGCACCTTGAGCCTTGGCAAGAAGATATCGTATTGTCCACCCCGGGGCTAAAGTGCATTCCTCATATAAATTCTTCGAGCATTTCTTGCGCGCCGAGGACCAAATAAATGATTAGCGCCGGGAGGGGAAAAAAAAAACAAGCAGGCGCGCTTGGCACTTGGCGCGGAACCATTCGCCGTCATAAATATATAACCTAACAATACGGCCATTTTCCAATATAAAAGGAAAAGAAGCGCGGCGTCGGCGGCCTTTCCCGTCTTACGGTAACTTTGAGGACTTTTTGCCCCCCCCCCTCTCGCGGCGTACCAGTCGCAATGATATTTTCCGTCTCGCCATGTACGCCGACCTACGCGCTCGGCCTCCTATACGTAAATGTAAATACGAACAGCCTCCGGAGGGATTATCTGCCCTCCACGCCGCTCTCTGGCTCTTACGCGGCCGCGCGCCTGCTGAAATGGTCAAGGGAAGTGGAGCAAAAAGGAAGATTTATCGGCATT